TCTCTGTATATTTACCTCTGTTTGTTTGTCTCTCTGTCTCCCCCTCGCCCCCGTTTATTTTCTCTAACTTTGTCCACTCCCTCTCTTGTCCCCTCGTCACCCTTTCCCCTTTCCGGGAAGCTATCTGTCATATCCGTCTCCTGTCTATCTGTCTCGTCTTTCTATTTTCTCTTTCTCCCCCCCCCCCCGGCTCCCTTACAAGGTATCTCTCCTTCTGTCTCATCTTTCTATTTTCTCTTTCTCTCCCCTCCCTTACAAGGTATCTCTCCCTCTGTCTCATCTTTCTATTTTATCTCTCCCCCCCCCCCCTCCTCCCTTACAAGGTATCTCTCCCTCTGTCTCATCTTTCTATTTTCTCTTTCTTCCCCCCTTAAAAGGTATCTCTCCCTCTGTCTCATCTTTCTATTTTCCCTTTTCTCCCCCCCCCCTTACAAGGTATCTCTCCCTCTGTCTCATCTTTCTATTTTCTCTTTCTTCCCCCCCCCCCTCCCTTACGTATCTCTCCCTCTGTCTCATCTTTCAATTTTCTCTTTCTCTCTTTCTTTCTCCCCCCACCCCCTCCCTTACAAGGTATCTCTCCCTCTGTGTCATCTTTCTATTTTATCCCCCCCCCCCTCCCTTACAAGATGTCTCCCCTCTGTATCTCTTTCTTCTCCTTGTAATTTATCAACTATCCCATCTCAAATACGATCCCTCTCTTTTTTGTCTCCATTCCAATCTTATTCTTTAAAGAACCCTTCACGTTCTACCTGATTTTTATATCTATATCTATATTCTCGTAAATATCTACAATAACTTTCACTGCGTACAGCTATCAAACATCATTTTATAATCTTATACTTTATTCACAATCTAGCTATACAGGGCGTATCAATAAAAAAGTTATCCAACTTAGGTAGCTCCTAATATAACAAGTCATAACCAAGATGACTTTGAAATTGCTTTCATGACAAAGAGTAACTTATTTTCTGCCCAATGATACCCTATTCATAATATTTCTGCCACTGGTGAACGAGCACCAGGGTCTTTAAAAAGTGTTGTCAACATCGCCTTGTTCCAAGTTTGGGCTCTAGGGACCAATGTAGGTCCGGCCATATGCATGTGTTTCTTTGGTCTTAAATCCTGTTAAAAGTTAAATTGTGCCACATGCTCTCGGTGCTATTTTGTTTAAAACGATAAAATGCCTTCACACAACCTTGTTTCAATCGACGAGATGACCTTTACTTATTTCAAACAGCCTACTAACTTCTTGTCTCATGATATCCAAGTTCTCTCTGCTCACTTGTCCACTGCGCCATTTCACACGCATAAGGAGCATAAGGTGTTTATCTCGAATAGCGATCAAAAACTCAAAGGTTACTAAACCAAAATGCAAGATAGAATTTTTATAATGATAAATATCAAAGAAAATGACAACATACCTTAATTTTTTAAAACTAACATCCTTGATAAACTTTATCCATTTTTGTAACACTCAATGAGAAGGCTACCTTAAATAAGGAATGCGAATGAAGGCCAGATTGTAATCATCATAACGAAGAGAATATCATACATTTTGCTTGTGATAAGCATTTCTTTGAGTTTGAGTTGATGTTAACCCCTTTTTTTCTTTAACTGCCTAATAGTCATGTAAATAAAGGAGCGATTGTTTTGGAATGTGATAACACACATAATGGCTTTTGGCCTACATTCCTTGCTACAGCCCAAACTTGGTACAAGTCTACAAAAGGATTTTGACAATGCTTTTTGAAAAGCCTGCTGTTCAGTCATCCTTGGCAGCGCAATTATGAAAATGGTATCATTAGACAGGGTATTAGTGCTTCTTTTCATTGGAATACGATTTTAAGGTCACTCAGTTTATAACTTTTTAATTAGAAGCCACCAAAGTTTGGTAAACTTTTTTTGTATAATGATTTCTTTAAATTGCATACAAATGTATTGATAATATGACTTATTTTCACAGCTGGTAAATATTTCATGATCTATAAGGCTCATCATAACAAATCATTGCAACTTATTGATCATGCAAGTATATACAAAATGTATACAAAAATAATATATATATGAAGTAAATACATATATATGTGTATTTTTCTTTGTACAAAAACTTGTCATATCTTTATTAATAATTTGAAAATGCTCTCTTTAAAGTAAACAATGGAGTTTTAAAGATACGGGAATATGATGTCTTTAAATAATTTGATCTATACCTTAAAAATGGCATTGAAAAACTTAGTGGATAGGCTGTAGAAGAGATTAAGAAGGAGCCCAATCGTAGTGGATACTGATTCACTATTACTGTCACGGGGGAGGGGATATTGTTATCAAGAAGTTAAAAACAGATCAGTGAAACGAGACTTGTTAAATGTAGGGAGCGATGTTTATCAAATCAAATCTACTATGATGTCTAAACAAATCTTACCAGGAATAATTAAGGTTAGATGAACATGATATTACAACATTAGAACGAGCTGACGGTTTATTTCTGTTCCGATATATGATCTGCGCTTATGTGATGAGGAAACTTGTATTTCACTCATCTTATGACCTGTGGGCTGTGGTCAGAATTCATTTATGTTCTTGGCTTTGTTAATTTCGTAATGATTATCACAATCATTTTAAGATACTATTTACAGATATATTAGCTCTTCAACAAAGAGATATAACGAAAATATTGATAATTTCTATAAATGTACTACTATATTGCTTTTCTATACAGATAAACTATGTACGTATTTACAAATTGCATAGATATTTAGATATCGGTACCTCAACGGCAATATCCGAAATCTTCACGAACTATTTGGCAGTGTCGTGTTAGCTTGGCATATAATACATCAATATCAATAATAATAGTTATAATAATGATAGCAATAACAACGATAATGAGTATCATCGATTATATGGATCACTATACTAGCTATAGTTTATCTATTTCATTCGAAACTGCAAACATTGGTTGAAATGCTTTGAATAGTTAAACATTCTTTCTGCTCTTAATAACGATAGCTCGGGAATTACGGTTTAAAAATACAGAGACAAGAAGGTGATCAACATGGAAGCATGATGACAGATTGCCGTTTTCATTTACTTTGAATGGATGGGAAACATCGGAATACTCGATCATTTCGATAGACTATAATACACAAAGCCCGCCAAAAAAGCGACGGGGCTCATGAAACATGAGCATCCACACTTCATTTTTGTTTTAATTGAAAAAATAGTTTTTAAAATTGTAATGATTTGGGGGTGTTTTTTTGTTTATGTTTAACTCACATTGGGCTCACACGCTTTTAAATCTTACCGCATTGCCTCAATGTAAGGGTTATCATTGTTGATGTTTAGACCCCTGGATACCCCTTCTTGGGTATGATAAATTCTTCAAGGTTACTCGTTCCTTATTATTTTGTGTATCAATTAATGTTTCTATTCTTTGTTTATTGTTCCAGGAATTTACTCTATTGATAGGACCCGTTCAGTTTAGTCAAAGCATACGATTCTCACAATGTTTGCAGTTTCTTGATGATAATCCATTTACTATTTACATAAATGTAACAATGATTATGGATACAAATTCAATATTTCTACATCATTTCAATATCGCTGCCTAATCGGCAGTTTTATCGACATATTCACGATCATGGCAGTGACGTGGTAGCTGGCAGAAAGTCATTCAGACTTAAAATTACATCATACAAATATGCAATACAATATATACAACACAAAGTAAATAAACAATTTAAAACGATACTGCATTTAAAGAACGAAAAAGAAGTACACACATAAAGTATTCTATGTTACTAAGAAACATGACGAAACGAAAATTGACAGATGAATGAGAGCAATACAAATTACTCCTTTCACTACTGCATTGCTTTCATAGCTGCCTTATTATCATAATATACAAGAAAGACCTATGAACACCATATCAATTTAAATTTCCAATTTTTGAAAGTCAGAACAAAAAATGATTAGAAAATGAGTGCTTATCTGTATACTCTAAAACTAAAAGTTAAATTGTCACCGTACCCGTTGTATAGCAGCACCACTAGAGGTTAGCAAATAAACTATTTTAGTTTGTTGTTTACATATTGCACCATTGCACATTTGCACCACTGAAGCTCAATTTGCACCCTGTTAGTCAGGCTTCCGATATGGTGCCATTTCTACCTATTAGGGTGACACGCGTGTGAATTGAACTTCTAAAGGTTCAAAGTTGCACCCTCAGGAGTGTCTGCTCCTGTGTATAGGGCATACATTTGAACCTTTAGATATTAATGTGTAGTATCTTCAACATAATACTATTATGTGTTGGCAGTACACAATTTGAGGTATACTAACAAACGTATATTCATTGCACATCATCTTTTATTAACCTGCATAGCTACACTGTAAAAAAAAAGTTGACAAATTTTGTCCAATAATTGGGTTATTTTCTCCCAACCGTTTACTATATGAAGTTACCTCATGAAAGGTAAAAATAGGTTGGTAAGGTGTTCCTGAGCAAATCGATGTTGGGCAAATGTCGTCCAACGATTGGGTTATTTCCTACCAACCATGTAGTTGCCGATGAAATAATTAGGTAATGTTATTGGGCAAATTGAAGTTGGGCCATTTTTGTCCAACATTTAGGCTATTTTCTCCCGACCCGGTTTTTAATACATGTATTTACCCAATTAAATGAATATTTTGTAGAGTGTAGATATACCATGGGAGAAATATTTTGCAGTTCGAAAGGTCACAGGGTACATTAAATTTGAGTTCAGAGCTTCAAGATTAGATAATTATTGTGCGGATATATGACGGAAGGAACTGAGCAGCTCAAAACAGCACTCCGAGCTTCCGATACCAAATATGAGATGATTCCCACGCTACTATTGTATTCAAAAACACTATATTGTTCCAGAGGTTACCCAGATTATTTGGTATTAAAATAAAGAAAATATAATCATACGTAAACAGAGACGTTTTAAAGTGCAAAGTATGGAAGAAAAAAAAACTTTTTTAAGAACTTATGATTACCGATTAAGACATTAAATGGAACGTGGGTAGGTCAATACACAAATGTGTTCAGTATACAATGAGTTCATCAGACTATTTAACAGGATATTGTATTGTTAGCAAAGAAGAAGGACAACATTCTTTAAAACTGAAGAGAAATATTTATATTTTCTTTGGGGGCAATGCAGAACACTCTGTTTAAAAGTAGTTTGGTTAGTGATATTATACGATGGTAAACCTTAAGAAATCGATGATAACGTTATTTAAATAAAATATGGACAATTTAAATCGCATTTATTAGGACAATTATTTCAAAATAAATGTTTGCACATGGAACTTTCATCATAATGTGTAGAACGTGTCTTATTAAAACAATATGGCGACAGGGACAATCGCGGACAATCGTATAACATCGTCCTGATTCGTAATTGTCTTCTCTCTATTATTTTGTTGTAATAAATGTGCACTCCGCTGCCGGCTATTTCTAGTTTAAACATGAAATGAACAGTCGAAACATCGACTTGGATGATATGCGCACTTTAATCCTTAAATTAAAATAGACACACTTTATTAATTACATGGTAATTTTGATCTTATAGAGTGCAATGGGCTTAATGACGAATACATTCAATTTCTTAAATTAACACTACATTCGCCGTGCACATACTAATGCTGCTGACGTGTGAGCGATCATACCACGGCGTTGCTGCCATTGTTCTTGTTGCCGCAACATTTCCTGAAGCAACAGAAGCAACAGCAGCAACAGACAAAGTTGATAAGAAGGATAGAGCCGACGACACTGACGATGATGATAAGCCACACCTGGGAGGTGTCGAGAGCACCAAAGGACGCCTTACAACACGACGGTGTTGAGCAGCATGGATCAGGACAGGTGTTATTGGTCGCTAAACAGTTATCGTTGATCATGCCGCAGCAATCAGCTGGGCAACCCTCGGGTGTTTCCGTTGCATCATCACACTGACCATCACCACAGAAAGAGGCATCTACCGAGGATCTAGAGAGATAATGATAATAATTTGTATTTGTATTTATTAACATTTATTTCCTTCTCAACAGTACAATATGAATCACGATGTATAAATATATTATGTAACAATCATTTCAACATAGAGTATACAGTAAATAATTCAGATACGGAAGGAGGCGAATACCCGGAAAGTATAGCTTGAGTTGGGAACGCCCATAATAAGTTAACACAGTTACCGAGAGAATATTATAGATATTATTATGAAAATTACATTTTATATAACAGAACGTTGATAGGAAAGAAAAAATAGTAAATGGAAGAGGAACAAAAAAATGAGAAGAGAATTGGGTATAGGAAGGCATGCTTACTTATAAGGAGAAAGTAAATTAGCGCTTTGAGATGTCATCTATACATAAAGCATGTGTTAATGGTACTGTCCCATTTGCAGGCCCCAAAAATGAAAAAGTTAAATCCCAACGTCATTTGAAAGACAACACTAATTTTGAGGAAGAAAATTATAACTAATTTATTCAGAACCTTTTACTGAATAGTCGTACGTTTTGTGCTGCACAAAGATTCAATCAGTTTAATTTTGGTCATCACAAGAAGTGATGTAGACAAATGATCATGAACCCTGTATAGCTCATTTTATGTATGTTATCACCAAAGAAAAATGAAGTCAATCAGTCACTCAATAGTGTCTGACATTGAAGTCTATAAAGTAAACGGGTTTTCTTGCATAATTTGAATACTAGGACACTGCTAATGTTTACATTTCACAGATAGGACATACATGACATATTCATAATTCCTGCAAAGTTCTACAAAATTTGATGTTGGCTGCAAAAGGGACATAGTATCTTTAAGAGATAAATGATGTACAACTTTCTAAGCAGTGACAATGTGAGTTCTATTAATGTATATAGTTTCAGAAGAGGTATGCCTTCAAAATCTCTCTGAACTGTTTTACTGTTGATGGTTTCAGTTGAGGAGAGAGCCTGTTCCAGAGTGTATATCGGAATTTATCAAAGAGATACATTATATAAAGATATAGGAAATCTAGAAGAAACCTTCAATCTCACTAAAAGCTTCCTTTTGATCAATAACCAACGTTGATTTATATGCATTCTCTGACAGTTTCAATCATAAGTATAAAGGATTGTGATACGTTTTGGTTGTAGGGAAACTATACAAAACAACTTATTGAATCGTTTTATATTATAATGATAGAAAAAACAAGAAAGGGAAAGAAAGGGGGTAATGACAGATTAAACGTAGAGGGAGATGGAAGAGGAGATAGATAACAAATTTTTAAAAAAATGAAAAAGTCATTTAAGGACTGGGACGAGCTACCTCAGATCATCGTCGAACTGCCTTCTTTGGAGCAGTTCAAGGTGGCTCTTGAAACAATTTAGTTCCCTTTTCAGGAACTGTACCGAATAGAGCTGTATATAACAACTCTATGCTTTACCCTCATCTAGATGCTGAACAGGCGTTGATGAGTATTACCATAGAAGTGGAAGTAGAAGAAGGAGGAAGGTACTGAAAGAGATGAAAGAGAGACGGAAAGAGGGAGGAGAGAGTGATGAACGAAATCTTACCCTCTTTTTTCTGCTTCAAATGGACATACTCCTAGGAAACATTCCGTCCACTTGAAACATGACTCAGATGTCAACCACTTCCATCGTTCGTCACATCTAAAATGATAAAACAGCAAATGAGATTTCATGAGAAAACAATATACAATTGAGATTGCCTTGAATATTGAAATATTAAAATGATAGGAAGGAATTCCTTGAATGCTGTGAGCGCCGAAATCGGCTGCCTGGCAGAGCCGGTGTAATAGTTGGAGCGCCTTGAGCACCATGCATGGTGGATGTGTGCGCTTTATTATAACTGAATATCCAATATTAGTATTAGTATTATTATAAACAACATCGGTCTACAACATTTATCTCAACACTATTCATCGAGAAGATGTATAATGAAAAAGATATAGCAATGGTAGATAAAGAGGGAGGCCGGATAGGAGAGAGAGAGAGAGAGCATAACACTGCTGAAGAAGTTTTCCTTAATCGAAAGAGCTTGGTAATGAGGTATGTACAATTAACTCTTAATCCGAGATACGAAATAACATAACAGAACCATTCACATATCCATGCAGGCATCTCATGTTCTTACTTCAACGTGACGATAGATGGTATGTGCCTAGCCCAGAATACGAAGTGAAATCTCTCCAAAGTATCACATTCTTGCAAAGATGTCAGATATCCCTGAAAACTGTATCTGAACTGAGGGATAACTTACCCAAGAATGGATTTAAAGTGATGTATATTACATGGTTTGGTCATAGAGAGACAATACACGTCAGCCCACAACTGATATACACGCCCCCTTTTAAACAAGTACAACAAAAAACATAACAAATTGAACAAGAGAACTCTTGTGCTAATGTTTCCCTTGTAGTTTGGTTAAAACCTTTATCCGTCGTTAATCTTTTGAAAGTGAAAGTCTTTACGGATATCTGTCAAAATTTGACAAGATAGGTACATCCGTTGACCGTGTACTAAACCCATTTATTGATCAGTTGTCAAAACACCGTGTACCTGGGAAGCTGACGAAGTACAATCAATTTGGTCCAGGCTTTTCCTTTTCATGTTGAAGGTGCAGCACGACGTGTTAGTTATAAGGTCAGATCGTGGGCATGAAACCTTTATGGACCTACGATGAGACCCTGCAGAATGATGATTGTACAGCTTTTAAGCAGCTCTTCAGTACTGTTTGGCCGCGGTCCATAGACTGGTACAGGGGATTTTCCCTTAAGTGTATGTTCTCTTGAATATTAACGCCCAATCAACCCCCCCCCCCCCCCCCCCCACCACGACCACCGCCGCCAAACACCTAAAAAGTTGCTTCCATTCTTTTCACGAATCGACCGATGATTGAATGATGAAGATCAAAATGATTGTCAAGTAAATCAGATACAGGGTATATACGTAGGTACTACACGTTTGCTTAATGGGAAGTTCTTTAGAGCATCTTTCTGCACTTTCAACTTTTAAGTTTTCTTCTTCAAATCAATAATAAGAATGATATCAATAATAACGAAGTCATTTATATAGCGCTTTTACACTCGGTTTCAAACGCCTTATAGAGTTCAAACATAATATCATATCAGTAGCAAGAATTAACCATAATCATTGAATAAGATAGTTTTGAGAGCCTAGTCTCAAAAACTTAATTAAGGAGACAAGCTGACAGTCTACAGATAAATGGAATACTCCAATGAATTGGTAATGAATAGAGGCATGAACGAAACGAGGAAATAATTCAATTTCTACTAAATGATCAGATTGCACCATCGTGATAGGGTCCATCTATGGTACCATTGAGGTTCAGTCAAGATGTGCTTACATCGTGTTGTACATCTGTCATTTCCCATGGAAATACGCATGCGCGGAAGCAATCAGTCAGCTATGTGTCATCGCTAGAGTTAGTACTTCCGTCAACTATTTCCCGTTGAGGTCATGATGGTTTGTCGGAAGGTTGGATTTGTCCAGGAAAAAATATTTTTTATCTTCAGCTCTTCAAAGTAAAATGATTTTAGGGAAGTGGTATGCGAACATGTCTAAACTTGAAAGTTGTGCCTTGTACTAACATTTTGTCAATTCACCAATGTATGTAGTGGGTCAAGGGCGAAACAGGCCTCTATGTGTCATATGTACATTAATATAAATGAACTTAAGTTTTTATACCATATTCGAACTGAGAAACCAAAAATCGTTATTGAAACATAAACTAGTGAATATATGGAGAAAGAAAAAAAGAAAAATTATCTCCCTTAACGGCATTGAAAATGACAACCATATTTTGCTATCTAGCTCTAAATTGAAACCTATAAAATTCGTTCGTGGAATGCATAAATTCATGTAAATTTATGTAGACAGAGAGACTTTCGGACGAGTAAGACATTCAGTTATACTTGATATACACTGGGTTACATACTTCAATTAATATTACAAATCTTAAGAACCCTGAGGCTAGTCAAATATGTTTCTTCTTTTTCTATTTGAATTGTTAGCTACGTGAATCTATTCCAACTATTACAAAACATGTTGGAAGTTCAAAGCCAAACTTAAACATCGTCATTCAGTTTGTCAAATAGAATTTTATCTAATATATTTTCGAAATACCTGGCGTTTATGTCTGTTTGCGTAATGAAATAGACGCAATGAAAAATTCTCCATTTTTTTTGTTCTTGCTTGGTTATTTTACCGCCAAAACGGTCCGATGTTATGGAAATATTTTCAATACACGTTGAATACTAGTTTTCACCCTTTAATGGTGTATGATGAATATTGTAACCGGTCCGATGTTATGGAAATAATTTCAAACAATGATTAGACACACCCTTTAAGCCCCCACTGTCCTACTTGTAGCTACTTACTCCCTCTATATAGAAAACTTCCCCAATCGGTGCCTGTTGGTCCCCATGATCCTCTTTTTCTTATGTTAATTGAGAGCTAAGTTAATGAGATAGCCACCTGTCAGTGACCTCGCTGTGTGGTCTAATCCCTTCTGGCCCAGTAGTATTGACGGTCTTTAATGGTGTATGATGAATAAATGTAACCGGTCCGATGTTATGGAAATAATTTCAAACAATTATTAGGCACACCCTTTAATGGTGGATGATGAATGTAACTATGTGAACGGGATGAAGTGCGTTAACATAGAAGAGAAGAAGTAATTGAATTGAGATATCAGGTGGAAACACCCTTTCCTGCTCTTGCGCTGGCTCATACTAAGGGGGAGGTTTGACATTTATAGTAACCATGGTTACAGACAAGCTAATTCTATATGAGGAGGCTGTGAATGAGGTTGGCAGTTAACTCACTGGAAACTGGACCGGCATTTCTACCCCCTCCATTTTGGGCAGCCCCGTCGAAGTATGAGTACAAGTGTATCAAACCGTTTGACTTAATCCCTTCTAGAATGGTTATAGGCCGAACGATTAATTAAGTTTTTTTTTGCTTTCACGGTCAAAATTATTTGCCTAAACTAATATATACAAATGTAACATGCATAATTACTCACATAATTCTCAATTCACAAACGAATATTTTTTTATAGTTTTTTTTCAATTTTTAAATGAAATGTAAAGCTATGGGCTTTTGATGTAAACTCGCATTTTTAGTTTTTAAACTTTTTGACAAGTCTTGAATAAAACCTCATTTGAATTGAAAATACCATTTTGTCCTCAATTTGCCTTGGGTAAGGGCACTAAAATCGGGCTCGTGGGGTAAAACAAAGTAGGATACTAAAAATTATACACCGTTGTTGGTGAAAAGGGCACCTATGACATCAGAGCCTCATGACATAGTTGCCAATTTGTCTCCATTAGATAGTGATCTTCACATCATTAAATCGTTCATAACATTTTTCATATTAGTTATCTGATTTCCCTCAAATATTTTGTGATCAATTTCTCAGATTTTTCTGATTAAGTGTTCTTATTGTATTATTACCCTGCAGAAATCTACAACGTTTGTTTGGTATATGTTTGCTTACTTTTCATAGTTGTCATTTAATACATGGAATAAAACAGAGCTGCCTTTATCATTTCAAACTTTCATTTTTATCTATTATGGATTTATGAGATTTGGTCTAATGTAGTAATTAAGTTTATTTTTGTTTATGAAAAATTGTTATAGTGTCTTGGTTTTATGAGTTTTGGCCAAAATTGGAATGTAATATCTTAAGCAATAATGTTATTAATATACCAGGACAAAGAATTATAATTCGTTGGATGCTGGATACCATCATGTTATTATGAATACAAACTCTATAGCGAGCCTGCTAAATCTACTTTATTTGTGATTGTTTAGGTCGTTGTTGCCGGCTAGCTGTATATTTTGTTGATTTTGAATAACGGAAATCAGTTAATTAAGTGACGTAACCAATTATAATACACATAGTACATGTATATCTGAATTTCTTAAATTTGTATTTGTGCCAATTTGTTTGTTAACAACTTGTTTAATTTGGCTAGATGTCATATGAATTCAATTGAACACTTTTAGAACGTAATTTGTAACCAAATTCAAGAACTACACTTTATCAGAACGTAGCAGTACTCGTAAGGAATAATCTAATTAAGACCTGTCTTTTCAAATTATGATTATCGATAAAGACGAAGGGAAGTGCTAATACCATCATGCCAGTAATATAGAAAATATCACGTTTAATTCCTGCGTCATGGAAACTGTTTCCATAGGAACATATAACATGACATTAACCTTGATCACGAAGAAGGATGTGTGCAGTTGATTGAAAATGTATACATTTGTCATAGCAATAAAGAAAAGGTATGATAGGTTAGGTGGAGGGGTGATAGGACAGATAAGGTGTAAACTTCCCACCACAACCCCTTCCACATACACACCAATATCCATATATTAAACGGATCCTAATAATATACGAGTTGCAAACAGAAGCTAACTATTAGTTTTTTATAAATGTGTTGAAAATTACTTTTTGGAAAACATACTGAAAGAACTAAAAATATGCAGTCTAGCAAATTTGCCCGGCAAAGATTATGGTCAAAGTCATTCTTCTCCGTGATCTTAATTTCATGGTAATTGAAAGATGATAAAGGTTTAATAAAGCATTTAGATGTAAAATATTATGTTGATGATGT